GCGCTGCCGCGCCTGCTAAGCGGCGCACTATCCAGTGCGCCACCGGGCCGGCCCAAAACTAGTATTTTTAAAAGGAATGAAATGTAATATGAATATTATAATGCATCATAGAGATCCTTAGGAATAACTACTGATATTAATTTTTTTATATTTTGATGTTGGCTGCATTACATGTAAGAAGGCCAAGTATTGTTAGGAGGATAAAGCTGGGGACAATTGGTATTTGGGTTGACAGTTAAAGATCTTACCTAACTTAATTAGAATTTAAAATTATTTACACATATTTTTTTCCCTATTTGTTACTACTTTCTTTGGTGGCTGGGCCATATGGGGATCCAAACCCTTGACCTCGGTGTTAACACCATTCTCTAACCAGCTGAGCTACCCAGCCAGCCCACTACTTTTTCATATTTCACTTTTTTAGTGTTTCAAAAAATTTTAAAGAAATGTACTTATAAATTCATCGTGTAATTCAAAAATAAAAAAGACACTTACGTGTAAGGGAGAGCTTGGATCAATTCTAAATCTTCTGGGGCTTGGGCTTCTACCAAATTTGCATCCATTAAAATACATACTCCATGAACAGCCAAAAGAGAAAGATGCTCCACAAGTCTCTGGATCAATTCCTTGACATGTACACGTACGACTGTAAGATGGTAATTGCAAGGGAGTAAACCGATAAAGTAGGACAATACCTTACAAAGAACATTTCAGGTTCACATAACTAAAACTATAGAGGGATAATGAACTGGTTATACCACTTATTTATTTTATAACTTAATCTAAAGTAGTTTTAGTCTAATGATAAAAAGCTAACTATACTTGATTATAACTAAATTTTTAACTAAAATGTCTGTTCAAGAATGTAAATCCAAATAAATGGCCATAAACTCTACAAATCTAAAACACCTACAACCTCATTTGACTTAGAGATATCGGAGGTGGGAAAATAAAGGGCCTGGACCTTAAATCCTGGATTTGTTCCCTATCAGAAACAAAAATCAGAGCATCCCATTACCTCTTTGGACTTCAGCTCCTTTATGTGAAAAGTAATATTGATGTAATTTTCTGAGGATTAAAGAAGAATATGATATATTGTATATAAAATCATTTTGTCTATTTTAAAGAAAGACTTTATGAGTGTCACAGCAGAAAAAAAATTCAACAGAAAGCACATTATAAATTGGTAAGTGTATGACTTTTGGGGCATTTCTGAAGCCCTAAACTAGACTCCATGGGAAGAACGTGTGTGTGTGTGTGTGTGTGTGTGCGTGAGTGCGTGTGTGTGTGTTTAAGAAAAGAAAAAATGTGTAGTAAGAATGACAGTGATTAGACTATACATACGAAGATGCAGCCTGGCTGGTTAGCTCAGTTTGTTAGAGCATACCCTAACACCAAGGTCAAGGGTTCAGATCCCCATACTCATCAGCAGAGAAAAAAAAAAAAAAAAAGAAGAAAGAAATGAAAAATGAAACCAGGAAAAGAAAACAGCATACACTCTTCTTATGGTTCTAAATTTGCATAATGCTTAAAATCTCTAATTATTGTATGT